ATATTAAAGAGTAGGGCCTTCCCCACTCTAATCAAGTAAAAAAATAAAATGATATAATACAAAAATGATTGTAGAAAATATAAGTAACATGTGGATCCCCAATGCAATCCAAAAAAAAAAAAAAAAAGTTTGGCTCTAAATATATTTTAAACAGATTCTTATAACGCAAAGCAGCCTGACTGAAGGACCAGTCCTCCATAGTATTAAAATGTTCTTTTTTGTCTCTAAAATATGCAAAAAGATACTTGTTTACGGAATTACAGGGAATTCGTTTTCTTGTTTTTTTTCTTGCATCTCACTCGGTCTATGGACACACACTGGAGTCAGTAACAAACAGGCCACATTTCATTGCCCTGACAGCGCAGTTCCTGAGGTCAACCTGACCTCTTTCTCTTGGCTCCGCATCCTTCGCTTTCATTTTATAGCAGGATGATGTTTGTTTGAAGTTAACCAGTTAGCAGACGGAGGCAGCGGAGTGCGGACTTTAAAAATTGATGGATTGCGAAAGAAAAAAATAGGAATGCGGCCTACCCGAGAGGAGAATATGTTCATGTATTTGCCAAGTAAACTCAATCAATCACTCCCTCACAAACACCGATCCTAGGGCAGCGCTGACAAACCCAAGTGTTCATGTTGTGCCCGGAGCATAAGTGGATTATATTTTACAGGCTCTGATTTTAAGGAGACCCTGTCCCTATTCCAAAACATCATCCTGTCATAAGGGTCTTTGTTCAGGCACTTCCTGTTATAGGGTAACAATGCTCTGACCATGTTTAGGCGCTTCCTGTTATAAGGTGACAATGATCTGTCCTTGTTCAGGAACGTCCTGTTATAGGGTGACAATCCTCTGTCCTTCTTCTGGCCTTCCTGTTATAGGGTGACAATGATCTGTCCTTGTTCAGGAACGTCCTGTTATAGGGTGACAATCCTCTGTCCTTCTTCTGGCCTTCCTGTTATAGGTTGACAGTGCTCTGTCCTGGTTCAGGCACTTCCTGTTATAGGGTGACAATGCTCTGTCCTTGTTCAGGCACTTCCTGTTATAAGGTGACAAAGTACTGTCCTTGTTCGGGCACTTCCTATTGTAGGGTGATAATGCTCTGTCCTAGTTCAGACACTTCCTGTTATAGGATGACAGTGATCTGTCCTTGTTCAGGCCCTTCATGTTATAGGGTGACAATGGTCTGTCGGTGGGCCATGCCTGCGTAATGTGTGCTTGAAAGGGCTCTGTGGAGGACACTTGAGTTCCTCCACATCCATGTCTTTAGGGAGTTTTTGAATTAAAATGAGTTGTCTCCTCTTTTTCTGGCTATAACATCCTTCACTCTTCTGGGAAAACTTTCCACAAGATTTTGGAGGGTGCCTTCGGGAATTTGTGCCCATTGGTGAGGCCAGGTGCTGATGTTGGGTGAGAAGACCTGGCTCACCATCGCCATTCCAATTCATCCCAAAGGTGTTCAGTAGGGTTGAGGTCAGGGCTCTGTGCAGGACACTCGAGTTCCTCCACACCAAGCTGGTCACACCTGTTTTTATGGAGCTGGCTTTCTACACCTGAACTTAATAAATCCTATGGAACACCTATGTTCCATAGGGTGTTCCTAAGTTCCATAGGGTTGAGGTCAGGGCTCTGATGGAGGAACTTGAGTGGCCCTCACAAACTGGTCACACCATGTGTTTATAGAGTTGGCTTTGTACACGGGACAGTCATGGTGGGACAGAAAAGGACCTTCACCAAACTGTTACAAGGTTGGAAGAGGACAATTGTCTACAATGTCTTTGTATGATGGAGTATTAACAGAACCTTCACTGGAGACACCTGAACTTCATCAATGGGAGGGGGGTGCACATACTTTTGGCCATATAGGGAGTTGATAGCGTATGAAAGCCTTGGAAAATCTGAATAAATCTGTTGGAAGGTTTATTTCTCCATGATCACTAGTGTTGTGGTTTCCTCTCCTGTCCTATATTACTTGCTCATATGCGGTATCATGTTGGACCTTCTAACCTTACTGATAAAATATTTTTTCTTCATATTTCTCTAAACCGAGTCAAGGTTTTGCTGATTCAGCGTAGTGCTAGTCAGGAATCTAGTGAGGATTTTGTGGAGGACTTTTCGTGTCTGGCACATTCGCCGTCACACTGCTCAATGTTACCAACATGTGTTAAAAATCATATTTCCTCAGAAATCCTTCCCATTTCATAACTGCCCCGAATTCTTTGTGCTTTAAGTTATTTGTAACATCAAGCGTATCCCCTTACATCAGAGTCTTAACATTTATTATCTAAGGGTAGCGAGGAAGGCCAAAGAAACCACCGACACCACGTGC